TTTTCATTATTTTCTAGCCTTGTGCTCTAACCGTGGGTGCCATCAGCTCCATAGTTCGTGATTCAGTATTGGCGACATGCGTAATAACATATATTACCTTTTATAATTTAGCCTGTATTAATGTATATTTCGTCTCCTTATGTAGACCAAAAACAACTAGTTAAACAAATAATAAATAAAACAATAATGATAACATGAAAACATTTTCTAAATGAGAATGCGTTCTTTCTTTTGAAAGAAACCAGTCAGGGTGAAAAGACAAAAATCGGAAAACAGATCAAAAAGTCAAACAAACAGTGGAAAAACCAACATAAAGGACAGATTACCAACAAAAAGGAAAGAATACCAACATAAAGGAAAAATTTTAAAAATTTCAATCATAATTGATTAACGTAAACACTATTCACATTAGTAGCCCATAAACTTTTACAGAGATAATATGACCATAAATGTTATCGACAATACTCATAGTCAGCTAGGACGGTTTCTTTGTACGGTTGAGTACATAACCATGTTCGAGTCGGGTGTTCGGTGCGGTTTCCTGAGGTAACACATATACAATTGCATAAAGAAAAGCAACAAAAAACACAAAACACAAAAAAACATAAAACAAACAACCAATGACAGTAAGAAAATAGAACAAAACAAACAAACGAACAAACAAACAAACCAAACAAATGATAGTTGTACAGTAGGTAGTATCAAGTACTTCATCGCAACAGTGTCTAGTTTTTGTGTGTGTCTGTATTCACATCTGGACTATAAGGCCATTTAAAAATATAAATACAGTTGTAGTTGAAGAAAAAGAGTTCCATTTTTGCATCATCAGTTTTTAATACCTAAAATATCAAAAGTCTATAAAAAGGATCATGACATTTCTGTAGGAAAAACTCTTAAAGTATATAACATATTTTTTCTGTTGACATAGAAGTTGTTCACCTTTGAGACTATCACTAGAAGAATCATTTTTGTGCCACTGGAATGTGAAAAGTAAAATAACAAAAATTCCGAACTCAAAGGAATATTCAAAACAGAAAGTCCTTTATCAAATTGCAAAGCCAAAAGCTCAAACGAATGGAAAACAACTGTCATAGTCCTGACTTGGTACAGGCATTTCGTTATGTAGAAAATGGTGGATTAAACCTGTTGTATAGCTAGCTAAACAACTCACTGGTATGACAGTCGCATAGAATTCCATTATATTGAAAACAATGTGTGAGCAAAAAACAAACAGACATAATAGGTAAAAATGTCAAAATTTGGGGAACAGCAATCAACATTGTATTATAATCTTATCACTATAAAAACAAACAACTATTTCAACAAAGAAAAACAAAATGGCATATCGACACACTATAGAAAAAGTACATATTAAGCAAAGATAAAAGACAAGTCCAAAGTAAAATAACACAATGGCGGGATATGTAAAAATACCGAGCCACGCCAAAAGTATATTAGCAAAAAAGAACTAAACAGTAATGTTTAAAAATATACAAGACAAAAAGAAAAGAAAAGTATAACACATAATTAAGATGATAATTAATCAGTACCTAGAATCTATACTTCAAGACCATCATGTATTATTTGTGAAGTTGATACGGAATATTTACCAACAAGGGTTGGTATCTTCAGATGAACATTTTAGGAAATATATTTATATATGTATTGGTCTCTGGTTGATTTTGTAAGAAATTTCAATCAGTAAATACTTGAAGTTTTTGTTTATTGATAGTATATTTTGAATATTTGTAAAAAGATTTATTACAGGAATGTACAAGTTTATTAGATTTCAATTTTTTTTACCAGGTAAGTTTATAACATCTAAATCTTTTCAGTTTGGTGCAATTATGAACATTGTATACATTGTTTTACTTTATACGAAACCGTTTATATAATCAACATATTGAAACACAGATAAAAAGGCGACCAGTCTTTTTCACGTACGTAACTGTGATCATGAAAGTGTAATATGTCCATGATGTTTATTAATACTTGATCATTTGAAGACCTTTTTTTATTAACCTTAAATGTCATATTATGAATGGTTGTCGCAGACAGTTTCAATAATGAGTATAAAGTATAAAAAAATGAAGTTGTCAAGGAAACAAAACATGGAGAAATGAAAATGAAATAAAGGCATCTAGATTATACAGCATTTATATTGCGATTAGTCAGTACAATTTTACTTTGCAATATCCAGTTTAAGTTTGCAGAAACTGGAAATAACGAAAGGACTAAGACTTTGTATATCAAACATGAAGAAACAATTATGTACACTGCCAAGTAATAAATACAATAAGGGAAGCCTTAAAAAGGTAAATTCAAATGGAATATAAGCTGTATACACTTTTCTATTTACAACTAAACTCCAACAGTACTTTTTATTGACTTGTGCAATCATCTACACACAATTACCTATTTTAATAAAGATGTTTTTAAAAGATCATTTCCTCATTCAAAGTCAAATATTTCAAATCAAAAGCACTAAAATTCAGCAACAATGTTTTTGGGACCTGTCAGAGGTCTCGGGTTCACGAATTGCTTTTCTTTTTTTAAAGAAAGCAACTTGTTTTCTCTTTTATTAGACATGTATTCAATGTGAAAAGGTTAATGTAACTTATCGTCGTGGGTCTACTTGTCAAATTTTGATGTTAATCATGTTTTGCTATCTCAATATTTCTAGGTGTTTCTATGTGGACTTGTGAATGTATTTTCGTCATTTTTCTGTTGAAGTATTTGCTATCCGTCTTGTTTCCCCTTTAAAATCTTCTCACTTTTGTACATGGAAATCAACTTCAATTATCATAATATTTATGAAAATTTTGAAGAAAAATCCTTTTGGTTTCCAAATTACACATTATTCGTTGTAGATAGGTTTCACCTTGTTTTAAAGTTCTCAATAGTTTCATCTGTCACGACTTGGTGGAATTTGAAAGAATCTAATTGTTCAGGAGATTGGTGGAATTTGAAAGAATCTAATTGTTCAGGAGATTGTGTATCTATATTGAGAAAATAAAGTTTTAGTTCCGTCTTTCGTATATGACCTTGGACTTAGTTATCTGTTGTAAGATCTGTTTGAAATATATCCTTTTTATTAACTTTACCAGCATTCCATGTTTTACAGTAGCATACCAATCTACAGGGGCTGCCATTCTTTGCATCAATTTAACCATAAAACAGCTTCATTGATTCTATTAGATAAGTTGTTACAAAATCATAATAGCTTCTTAATTTCTTAATATTTTTCAGACAAAACCAGTAAGGGCTTGACGTTATCAAATGTTTACTCCGAACACTTCTACTTACGTTTTGTTAAAACTGATCAGATATTGCAGGTAAGCTTTTACTGTGGTACTTCATATTCAAGAATTACTAGTTAAGTCCTTTTGTGTGCTACTATTATAATATGTTGATTTTTTCAGAATCTGTAACATACAGATTAAAAACAAAACAATTGTGATAAAATGAAAAAAGACATTATCAAGCCTATTATTTCAAGATTTGAAAAAAATATAAGATGAAGCTTATATATTTCTACCAACGTGACGTTCCAATTCAGATGAGTCTTGATGATTTTGACGTTAATCCAAGGAACGTTTCAAGCGTTCAATGTTTTATTGCTATTTGGTTAATTAATGCGATGCATATATTTACGGGATTTTGTTTTTCGGAAACATTTTTATGTTTTTACTTAATATGCGATTTAAAGTGAGAGGCATGCACATTAATATTCTTTAAATAACTATTCATTTTCAGAACTTTCCAAAAATAGTTACTTAACTCGACATTTTCCTTTGGTTATCATTAATGAATGCATACATTAACACATTACACAGGAGTTTTCTTCTTCAATACTTATCAAATAGTGAATTGACTATTTATTTTGACAATACATGTTTATGTTGTATTTCGTTTTCATTGCATTTCCTGGCAATCTTTTATACTCAGCTTTCTCTTTTTTCTACTTATATGTATATCATTTAGCGATGATTTCTTTACTGTAAATTTTCCAGAGTAGTAAAATATTTTGTAGTTTCATTTTTCACATTTTTGTATTAGAACCGTGTTATGTGATGGTATATATACTTTTGGGGCCCTTTATATGTTGCTGCTCGGTGTAAGCCAATGCTCCGTGTTGAAGGCTGTACTTTGACCTATAATGGTTTCTTTTACAATTTGTTACTTGGATGGAGAGTTGTCTCATTGACACTCATACCACATCTTCTTATATCTATTAGCTTTTATAATAACTTATATATTTCACATTTCTATAAGAATTAACCTGTAAACAAAACATATTCATGATACTATAAAAAGACTTCAGAACACCAGCATGACATTAATGACGTTTTGTGACAAAACGGCTAAATTTTGTATGTGAACCTTAAATCATATTTCCTTTAGTTATTAAACACTTTATTTTCTATAATAATTTATTTGATAAACAACCGGTATACCTATTGATTGCAACAATGTACCTTTCTAAATCCTAGGCTTTTTTCTGCTGTAGATTTTATATGTTTTGTTATCTATTTTATTTCCATTCCAAATCTTCATTTTAACACCTATACCAGTTTTTATATATACCTTCAGCATATATCAGTTCCAAGAAAAAGTGTTAAAGGTAAAGGGTTTTTGCTACAATAAAAATTATCAAGTGACCAAATGCCATCAGTTCAACGGCTGTAGGCGAATTTTAATTGATGCAAAGGGAATCGAAATATGAAAATTTCATTTGACTTTAGTTTCATTGTATCTTGTTTAAGCAGAAACCATTATGGAAGTTTGCATATCTTATATACTTGTAGAATAGTTTCCACACAAATTCGAACAGTATGCATGAAAACATGTACACGGTATACCAACCTTTCTGTCAGTTTCCCCAAGTTAACAATCTATACAACGAAATAAACAAATTATAAGCGGCTGCTTTTAAATAATAACAAATGACAGGAATGTTATTATCAGTATAACAAAGCGTGACTCAAATCTTTTCTGTATCATGTATATATGATAATGACTTTCTCCATTGTGATCATATCAATTGCAAGGAGCAGCCAACATGTTTGTCTTTCGACTGTTTTCTTTAAGTTTATCAGTTATTACGACATTGACAAGTTCTGTTGGTTCGCAGTCCGAATCACTGCTGACATGTTCAAAATTTCATTTTGAAGAAAACGTTCTGGAAAAACTTGTACGGTTTGAACATAAAATGGAACTATTCGAGGAAAAGATGAAAATGATGCAAAGTTCAATGTCATCGAAATTGGAAATAATGAACAAAATTGAAAAAGCAACGGAAACTTTAACAGAAACGATGCTCGATAAACAACTTCAATTTCAAACGAGAATTAATGATTCTTACCAGGAAATTGTTGACAACTTTAAAATGCAATCTAACAACGAAACAAAATTATATGGAGAAAAGATGAACACTTTGTTGGATTCTTTGTCCTTGAATAGTCAAGAAATCAATGAAACTGAAAAGGAACGGGAACGAAAAATAGAATCAATGCAGCGTGATTTACACGAAGAACAGAAACGTGTTAAGATATCATATGATGTGATTGTGGAGAACTTCAAAATTCACTCCAATAAGACATTACAGGAATTGATTTTACAGCATGAGACAGGTAGGGATCATTCCAGATAATTAATAAAATTTCAGTTTGATTCCTTATTTTGCGTTATCAAGATTTAAACAATAAATAAAGACATGTCCATACGTTCTATATTTTAAGGCAAAACAGTTGGTTTGCTCAAACGAATGTAATTTGAAATTAACCATTCGGCATGAAAGTCTTGCGCATTTATACCTCCCCATCGGTCCTAATTAGTCTCGATCTGAAAATGATATGCATATTCAGGATGTTTCATTAAGATCAAAGTCGTACAACATCACAAGAAGCAGAAATAAATCTTTCAATTTTCCCCTTTTCAGAAATTAACATACAAACTTCTGAAAGTGACATGCATTTTTTGTATATTTTAATAGTCAAATATTTAGTCAGTGTCCTCTTTCATTTTCGTTTTAAATTTTCAATAATATTTGTTTGCCAAAAAAAAAATGTGTTGGGAGGACAGCAATTACCCCCTATCCCCCTCCCCTGCTCCTACGCCAATGAGTATGTCTGTTTTCGTTCATATATGTGTTGGCGGCCTAACGTCCAGTCACAAACATTTCGAGCAAACTTTTAACTTACAGATGGTATAAATCAAAATAAAAAAGTAAGTTTTTTTAATTGAACTGACATTGTTCTTAAGGAGTGTAAGCAGAAATTGGTTTTATTTCAAGATGTGAATATTGTTTATTTTGTAACTAACGTTACAAATATCGTATAATGTACCTTGTTTTCCTTTAACCCGACATGTTTAATATTGTATATTTAACATTAATTGATTTGAAACTGCTGACCACCTCCGTAGTCGTAGTGTCAATTCAGTAAATGAACAAATTAACCAGAAATCTTATGACAACATTAATCATGGAGAATCATAAGCAAGAAAAGATCAAGAAAAAAAAAAATTCCTACAAAAAACATAATAAGAAAAAAAAAGAAAAACATTTATCAAAAAAAGTACAAGTATTGATAAGTCATTACTAACATCATTAGTCATGATCTGTTCTTTATACTATACTTATAGCACATGTAAGAATGAAACAGTACCGTCCGTATTATGTGTGCACTTTTTTGTTAAATACACCTACCAAGAATTCGTTTAATTGTCTGTCTTCATATTTGTTCTTCGTGTCAAACAATAAAAACAACTTCAATTTCACTTTTTCAGAGTTTAAAGAAATGATGGCGAAAAGAGAGACAGTTGCTTTCTCAGCTTACCGGCCAAGTCCACAGACATTGTCATCCGGTGAAAAAGTGATATTTGATGGAGTATGGACAAATGTAGGGAATGGATATGAACCAAGTACTGGGGTATTCAAGGCTCCACATCCAGGTCTTTATCATATGACTGCAGTTGTTATGTCATATAGTGGAACAAGTCTTGGATTGGACCTTTATCACAACAATTTGGAGATAACAAGAAGTTATCTTAGTGGCGATGGCTATAAGACAGGAATATTTGATGTTGTACTTAATCTTCAGAAGGGAGACAAGGTACATATTGAGAGTTCTGGAACTTATACAATCTATAGTAACCATCACAAGTTCATAACATATTCTGGATATAGGATCACATAGACTAAGAATGGAATGGCGCAAATCTCGTTTCTTTTGCAGCTTCTTATTTAAAGTCATATGAAACGAGTTCCTCAAAATTTTAATGTTATCGAAATTATTGAACCAATGCATGCATATATACTAAACTAAGTTTTGCATGCACGTTTTTATAGATATAAGAAGATGTGGTATGAGTGCCAATGAGACAACTCTCCATCCAAGTCAAAATTTAAAAAAGTAAACCATTGTAGATCAAAGTACGGTCTTCAACACGGAGCCTTGGCTCACACCGAACAGTAAGCTATAAAGGGCTCCAAAAATTACTAGTGTAAAACCATTCAAACGGGAAAACCAACGGTCTAATCTATATAAAAAACGAGAAACGAGAAACACTTATGAACCACATCAACAAACGACAACTATATCTATTAAACATCTATAACATAGTATCGACAGATAATGTTTCATTCAGTGGTTGTTAATCACAAGCTAGTTAACTTTCGAGTTTGTTGTCGAGGTTTACAGGATCGTGCCATTGATAATCAATAAAAACAAAGGACGTGGAAAGCGTGACAGAGAAGTGAATTTAAAGAGCCATGACATGTGTTCTTATATTTTCTATGCGTTCCTATTTGTTCATTAAACTATTCCTTAACAGTTGTTAAATGATTTGCTGTATTAAATTTGTTCTTTAAGAATCTGTTATTTATATTTACCTTCAAGGGCACGTGTGCTTACATTCTTTCATCACGGTTTTCCCCTCGCACTTGCGCTGTGGATTTGCTGAAGTTATAACGAGAGGTATCGTAGTTAAGGTCACTGCATACGGAATAATATCGGCGAATTATTGTCTGGGAAGTCAATAATTCATTATTGGTACATTTATTAAATTTTTGATAATATTAAGATTATCTTTTTAAAAAAACTTTACGTTCATTTCTTTTAAAGTAAAACTTAGCCATTCAAGTATATAAAATATCGTAGTCTTTCTTTTAATAAAAGTAAAAGATGTGCTATAAATTACCAATGCAATTACTACCGTAAAGTAAGTAACAAGAGGCCTCTTGATAACAAAAATCAAAAAAAAAATCAAAAGAGAACTGAACGAAAATAAATATGACATCCACTATTGTGCCCACTTCGTTTTTATTCATATATATATAAACCGTATAGAAATAAGTAGATAGTAGATATTGGAATTCCAGTTGCACTGGATTTTAATTATTATTTTTCAGAATTCGAATTCAATTCTACATTTTTTGTACTAGTAGATATTGTACTAGGATGATTCTACTCAATTCCAGTTTGTACTGATTTATATATAAATATAGCAAACACGGAACAATAAATAACTACAGTGTACTTTAAAGGTCAATTAATGAAACACATGTAAATATATAGTTTATTAATATATGATATTCATAATAAATTACTTTCGGTCATACACCATTTTAGAAGAAACAAAAATTAAAAATTATCCGTTGATGATTTTACAAATCATTACTAAATTAAATTTAAACTACCTCAGACAATGCAGAAATATTTGGTTATTCTTTTTGGTACGTTTAATATAAAAATAATGAGATGTGGTATGATTGCCAATGAGACAACTATCCACGAAAGCTTAAATGAAAAGGATGTAAGCAATTATAGCACAATGAGAAAAACCCATATCGTATAGTCGGCTATAAAAGGCCCCTATATGAAACAATTCAATTGAGAAAACTAACCGCCTAATTTATAACAAAACACAGGCGGAAACCGAGTTGAAATTAAACAAAAGAAATGGAACTCTTTGTTAAAGAAGGTAAAAAAGGACAAATTGGTAAATTTGAATTGTTTACATCTGTTTCTATGGGCTTTAAAAGTTAAATGAATGTGCCTAATTTAGCATTTTATGCATATTATGTATGTGTTTTAGTCCTTGTAACACTTATCAATTCAAAATTTCAAAAAGTTTTAAAATTTTAGTTTTTTTTTTATTTTTGATCAAAGTTTTAAAACATCAAAATTCCAAATTTTTTAATTTTTTTTTTTCGAATTTTGAAAATTTCACCAAAGTATTAAAATTCTAAAATTATAAACTTCGTTTCAAATTTTAATAGTTTAGATATTTAAGCAAACTTTAAAAATTCTAAACTGAACGTACAATTTTGATCATTTCGCTTTTTAAAAGTTTGAATTTTTTGATTTTGGAATAAAATATAGGAAAGGGGGAAAGGACTAAAAAGTTGATACCTGTTACAAGTGCGAAACGGAATAAGAATGGAAGGAGACGAAATGATATTTACCAAAACAAATCAAAACGAAACATTATTTTCTGAGAAACTAAATATGATAAAAATTATAAAACAAGAGGCTAACTTGTGACCTACCGAATTACTTATTACCGGGTTTGTAATAACATGAGCAACACGAAGGGTGACACATGTAGAGCAGGATCAGCTTACCCTTCCGGAGCACCTGAGATCACCCCCTGTTTTTGGAGGGATTCGTGTTGCTCAGTCGTTAGTTTTCTATGTTGTGTTTTGTGTACTATTGTTTGTCTATTCGCCCCTCTTTTGTTTGATCTACAGGGTGAAAAAGAGAAATATGTTTCTTTAAGTCTAAAAAATATTTAGTAAGACCTGATTTTGACACACTATTTTTCTCTAACTAAATGAACAATATGCAGAAATTACTTGTCGACTTTGTGATTACTGCTATTTTTAAAAAGCGAATAAAAGGAAACAGGATATTCGATTTTTGAAATAAGGGATAGTTCCGTATTTGTTATTTGCAATTTTGTAAGTTATCGTGCGACAATCAATTTTGAGCAAAATACAAGTACGCAGCCACGTCTAGTCAGAATGATGCGTGAAGAGAGAGTGCCACGCTCTCTGCACGTTACGAACCGTAACAACAACTTTTTGAGTGGTTCGTTGATTGCAAAGTTTCTGTCCATATCCAATATACCCTCATTTTCCAGTGGCGATCTATATTTGTTGACTTTCATCCTGAACGGATTTTATTACAGGACCTAACTATTGTATTTATTGACATGACATAATAAAATAAGACAACCAAAGACCAACATAATGCTAAATCAACAAAGGAAAAGTATATATGACAAAAATCAACCAAAATAATTTACCATTTAAATTGGTCACTTCAACTTTTGAAAATAATATAAAAACAAATTTTCTGCTAAAAGAGAACTCCCCGCAATAAATTAGATTACAGTAACAAAAACCTTAATCCGCCAATGTACTATTTCCCGTTGACAATAACATTTGAAGTGAATGGAATATCCAATAAAAATTAAACAACACTTGACTGCATACGTCCGAAGCGCTTTTCTTTATTTACCTACATCCGGAACGCTCAAAGCTGAATATTTGGAAGCCAAGAAAATATAAGAACCGAAACAATTGAAGAGGTGTATGGCCAAAAGGGACATTAAAATAAGCAAAAATTCATCTCAGGGAAACTTTGCCCGAGGGAGTTGAAACCTGGATTTTTTTTATAATTTATATATAAACTGCCTATTTTAAATGATTGATTGTTGGTTGCCAGTGTCAAATATTTCATGCATGTTCAGGACGATAACAAATTAACAATAAATACAATAGGTAGGTCCTGTTATAGAGTCCGTTCAGGATGAAGGTCGGAAAATTTAGATCGCCACTGGAAAATGAGGGTTTATTGGATAGGGACAGAAACTTTGTAATCAACGAACCACTCAAAGAGTTGTTGTTACGGTTCGTAACGTGCAGAGAGTGTGGCACTCTCTCTACACACTCCATTCTAACTGGACGTAGCTGCGTACTTGTATTTTGCTCAAAGTTGATTGTCGCACGATAACTTACAAAATTGCAAATAACAAAACGGAACTATCCCTTATTTGAAAAATCGAATATCCTGTTTCCTTTTATTCGCTGTCTTAAAATAGCAGTAATCACAAAGTCGACAAGTAATTTCTGTGTATTGTTCATTTAGTTAGAGAATCAAAGTGTGTCAAAACCAGGTCTTACTAATTATTTTTTTGACTTAAAGAAACATATTTCTCTTTTCACCCTGTAGATCAAACAAAAGAGAGACGAAAGATAACAGAGGGATATTCAAACTCATATGTCGAAAATAAACAGACAACGCCATGGCTAAAAAAGAAAGACAAATAGACAAACAATAGTACACAAAATACAATACAGAAAACTAAAGACTGAGCAACACGAACCCCACCAAAAACTGGGGGTGGTCGCAGGTGCTCCGGAAGGGTAAGCAGATCCCGCTCCACATGTGGCACCCGTCGTGTTGCTCATGTTATTACAAACCCGGTAATAAGTTATTCGGTAGGTCACAAGTTAGCCTCTTGTTTTATAATTAGTTTTTTCAGAAAATATTGTTTTCGTTTTGATTTGTTTTGGTAAATTTCATTTCGTTTCCTTCCATTCTTATTCCGTTTCGCACTTGTAACAGGTATCCACATTTTAGTCCTTTCCGCCTTTCCTATATTTTAATCAAACATCAAAAAATTCAAACTTTCAAAAACCGAAATGATCAAAACTGTACGTTCAGTTTAGTATTTTAAAAGTTTGCTTAAATATCTAAACTATTAAATTTTAAAACGAAGTTTATAATTTTAAAATTTTAATTATTTGGTGAAATTTTAAAAATTTAAAAAAAAATAAAAAATTGAAATTTTGATATTTTAGAACTTTGATAAAAAATCAAAAAAACTAAAATTTGAAAACTTTTTGAAATTTTGAATTGATAAGTGTTACACGGACCTTTTGTACTTGTACCAAGTCTTTCAAAATTTTTGGTTCGGATCATTACTAGTTAGTAAAGTAAATCCGTTAAAAGAGCTTCGGACGCACACAATTTATAAAATGTTATTTTCATTTAAGGGAAATGGAACCCTATGTCCTGTCAATGACTGCTGCTGTCAGTCTAGAATTGTTTCAGAAATATTTAATCCCAAAAGACTTAGTGTATTTATCAGTAAAATTTATAAAAATGAAGAAAAAATCAGAATTTGCTCCGGGTGCCATCCCTTGGCGATGAAGAAATCTTTATCTTTTTTTAAAATTCCAGGGATTTGTTGATTAAATTACTTATGTGCATTGATCACTGAATAACGGATCCCCATCCAGACCCTCTTATATATTGTTTTCACATTCGGAAATGTTCGTATAGTTATTTCAAAGTTTATTTCATCAATCCTGCAGATCGGTGACAAAATTGTGGGTTTGATGATAAAAGCACCAAATTTGACAAGGTAGTTGTGCTGAGTGTTTAGAACAATACATGCTATGGACCAACCTTGAAATTTCAATATGGCGGCTTTTTCCTAGATGGCCGCCATCAAATATCAAAATCAACTAATTTCACTCATTCAAAGTCAAATGTGGCATGGTAGTAGTGCTGGTTATCTAAAACAATATTAGCTATAGACCCACCTTGTAATTTCAATATGGCGGCTTTTTCTAAGATGGCCGCCATACAAAATCAAAATCAAAAATGTTCATTCAGATTTCCGGTCAAATTTAGCATGGAGTAGTGCTGGGTGTTTCGAACAATATTAGTAATAGACCCACCTTGAAATTTCAATTTGGCTGTTTTTCCAAGATGGCCACCATTAAATATCAATTTCAAAAAATATTCCTCATATACGGTTACAAAGTGTTTCGTTTTGACGTACCTTCAGGTAAAAATAAGTGCCCTATAATAACATATGTATGCCACATTTTTATAATAAAGCCAAACATCAGAGAGGAAAGTATAGAAAAACGTAACTACGGTACTTTTCTTGCGTAACAGTTGTCTACAAAGAGGGATCGCGTAAAGACACTGGCGTTATTCCAAGACTTGAGCTAGACTTATCTAGAATGTAAACTTCTCGACTCAAACAGTTTTCTTTATGATCAACTGGAAGAGGACATAGTAATGATGTAAACATAAGCGTACCTGTAGTAGTCTCAGTCTTGCCAGGCTATTAACAAGGCAGGTGCTTGCCTCTTCTGTGTTATTATTTTGGCGTTAAAACAGTCAACCGCAACAATCTGCATGTATGACAACGATATCGATACATTAAAATGCTGCACATACGGGTAGTTCAAAAAGACAGGATGTAGGCAAAAGTCTTTTCCCAGTCACTAAAAACATAGGTTGATAATCTATTAGCCAAATATTCAGATGTAGACGAGATATTCTATTGATGTAAATACGACGCAAACCATTTCAAAGTTACTTCTGATTTACTTCTCTATTCTTCTTTATTATTGCATTCAACTGAACTAAAGCAAATTCGTAATGTATATAGGCATTCTACTGCTACAAACCAAATATAATCATGAGTTTCAAAATTACCTCGAATATGTACCATTTTATGGACATGCACTCTGTCAATTGTCTGACCAGAAATACATTTTTGCCAACCTGGTATAATTAGTCAATTGTGCAACTATATCCTTACATGGTATAAATAAATCAATTAACCCTTGTGATCAACCGTTTTTTGCTTTTGCGAAATCGGAACAGTGGAACTGGGCAACATATTTTAGCAGAACCAAGAGTAGTTTAGATATTAGGCCTTCAAATTATATATTAACATCTCCCTTCTTATAGTAACAACGAAACCAAATTAACTGCAAAGGCTGGACATTGACCAATGAAGGTTGATATTTAGGTCAAGGTAAGAGTTCGTGTTATGCCTACATGTTCACTTTACAATCATTCTACGCATACAATCTAAATGAGCTTTTAATTACGAAGAGAATTTCTGATATTTATATCACATTGACACAAAAAACTTAATGTCCAACAATGAGCCTTAACTGAGGTTAACAAATAAAAGACATTCATAAACAATGGTCCAGAATTTAAAACAAAATCAACCAATCTCTTAAAGAAGTCTACACACCATAATTCATGACAAACACACTTTCCTTGATTCTTATTTTTATTCGTGTGATGAGAGATGTTCGAATTGTGAGTTTGTACTATTTGCATTTTCCAAAAAAGACCACTTGATGAATTTGGTGCATTCAAAGCTCTTTACTGTATTTACTTTCATCAAGATTGCTCAACCTTAACAATTAAAAGCCAGTGAGTAATAAATACATGGAAAAGTTAAGAGCTATACAACTAAAAGGGACCTAAAAAGAACAACCAAATTCATCTAAGGTCAACTTTGCCTGTCTCTATAATTTCTTAATACATCAACCAGGAATTTAAGAATAGTATGTTATAACCATGACTGGACATGAAACTAAAGGCTCATAAGAGCTTGAATCACTCACCTGGCAAACACATGAAATTTTAACCTTTATTGCAATATTTTAGGTTTGCTTATCTGTACTAATTTAGCTTGCTATTTTGCTGTTTTCTCTCTATCTATATATTATAGTTTTAGTTTTGAAGAAAATATCCAAAAAGTAAAAATGCATAAATATTGTGATTAACAGGAAATAACTCCATAAAGGAGTCATGAATGTTTTTTGTCAAGCATAATTTGTCTCTATCTTTTATAAACTGGGTGGCCATAGAAATGCAACATTTCATATTTGAAGCCCCCTTTTGTTCCTTTTTGAGTAACAATTCAAAATTTTCTTTTAATGATTTTTCAAGCATTTGGCTACATGCCACTTTAAAAGTTTGGTCTCAGATCAACTTTTTTCCTTTCTGAAACTTGCCACTATATCTATGGGGATCAAATTCAAAACTCATAAATTTTTATCCAAATGTGATATAACATTAAGCCAAATTCAAAGGAAAATTGTTAATCTACATTACTGTAAATTCAGAAATTATTGCGATGTTTTTATTATTGTGAAAAATGCGACAGGGTTATAATCGCAATAATTTAAACTCGCATTTTGAAATTTTTTATATGAATTAAACAGGATTTTTCACAAAATCACAAAAATTAAAATCGCATTTTAGCCTAAAGTGACAAAATCGCAATAATAAATGCACGCAATAATTTCTGAATTTACAGTACTTTTTAATAAACTTTGCAATAGGAATAGGGTTCATTCTGATGGAAATTCAAAAAATATAACAGCTCTGGCTTTGCAGTCAAAATAAAAATTTATGATTATTGTACTTATACTCAGAATTCAACCTATCAAAATACTTGATTTGGAGTTTCAAGCACAAATATTGTACTCCGAGTACGTTGTAAACTTTTATGACCAAGAGCCCTGATATTTGCTTAAAATGCTTTGAAGTCATATGCTAAGAAGTCCTTAAAATCTTAGAAAGATTGATCAACTTCCAAATAAGATTTGTCAGCTTGATTTTTCATTACTGGTAAATGGAAATTACATTTAGGGTTTGCATTTCTATGGGTACTCAGTATATAGTTTTCAAAATAATTTGCAAAATCATAAAAAAAATAAAATTATAATTTAGTGCCCATTATTCCAATTAGAAGTAAACTAACAATGATCATGTTGAAATATTTGTAGATTTTATCCTGGTAATGTTTTTGCTCTATAGAGTTTATAACTATAATTATAGTTTTCAAGAAAAAGGCAAAAACCCACAAAAACTCAATTGGTCCAGTGGCGAAAAGACTTAAAAACAAGTTTACATCAAAAGAAGACAATAATGAGAAACTTCAAGAGATAGCACTAGTTAACATGGCCCATTCACACTAGATGTGCTAAAATCAAGGAAAAACAAACTGTCTGGACACCTTAAAATCATTCTATACTCATAATATAATTGACCTATTACTTACAATAAACTGTTGACACAGAGATATGTCTCAATAGACCCGGACTGAGGGGGCGGGGCCAAACAATATTCATGGAAATAAGATAAGCCAATGCTTATACAAATGCATACCAAATATCATTGACTTATCATAAGTGGTTCCCTTTAACCTGACCTAATCACAAACTTTAACAAATTGTTGACACTGTCACAGCTGAGGGAAACGGCATACATAAGCTTGCTGTTTGACACAGTCAAGGCAAGACAATAACCTTATTTCATCACGAAAACTTAAAATTGATTGAAGAACTATGAAGATTAAGTCCAGGACAGATGATCCTTGTTAAACTGACATGTTAACCTTTCAATCCTTCTATATAATAAATATACTTGAACTTTACAACACAATTTTAGACCAGATATAGATGACCTATTACCCAAGCAAACTAATATTAGCCACATTTACTCCTTCCTTAAATCAATGAAATTAATTTATCAGATGAGGATTGGAAACTATTTTTTTTTTAAATATTATGTTTAAACAAAACTGAATATATATCATGTATATAAAATGTCATTACATTTCAAACATAATATCATGGAAGTTCAATTTTATAATCTTTTCATGTACATAAACATTAAATTGTTTGTTTTTTTTTTTAATCGCCATTCAAACATGGTTGATATTTCTGAAAAAAATCTCTAAAAGTTCTGAAAGTTCCAATGTTAACAACAATAAAAGGATCTGTACCTTAAACCTTTACACAGTTAGGCCCTTGTACAGCTCCTGATGGAAACCAAAATGAGACAAAAAGTAAATGTAAATAAAACTGATTTATTAACAGTTATAAGTACATGTGCAGTAATTGTGCATTACATGTGCAGAATAACTGTAATGTCAAGGTAGCACTAGTTTTGATGATGAAATCATTAGAGCATATTTCAGCGTAAAGATGAATGGATGATTTGAGATTTAATGTTAATGTCAGATCAGAGTTATTGATCCATTCTCTCATCAGCTTGAGGTTCTGCAGGTTGTGGATCTTGACCTTCACCTTCACCACGGGCCTCACCTTCACCTTCAGTTTCCATGGCAGCCTATGAAAAATACAAAATCAAATTGATTACTAATTACAATATCCTTAATTATTGGGTTTGTGTCTCAATTGAATTAAAAAACTTTTTCCAAACATCATTGTTGATTATAAATTGCAATATCATCTATCACTGTACCTTTATCATGTTTATAATTGCAGTCAACACTCATGACACTGAAAGAACATTGTAAAATTAAATCAATGTGTTTCCTATCTGTAATTGTATCATAACAAATATCAAACAGCAATTTCATTGATTAAAAATAATATGTTCTAACAAATGGACTGATGATGCTTATTAAAAGTGCAAAAGAGGGACGAAAGATACCAGAGGAACAGTCAAACTCATAAATCGAAAACAAACTGACAACGCCATGGCCAAAAATAAAAAGACAAACAGACAAATAATAGTACAGATGACACAACATAGAAAACTAAAGACTAAGCAACACGAACCCCACCAAAAACTGTGGGTGATCTCAGGTGCTCCAGAAGGGTAAGCAGATCCTGCTCCACATGTGGCACCCGTCGTGTTGCTTATGTTATTATAATTACAAATCCGGTAAATAGTCTAATTCGGTAAGTCACATTTGAGAAAAGGGAAGGTATTGTAGTTACGACATAAGGAACATATCCGATATCATCTGTGAAACGGTTATTCCATAACTGTCAACCAACTCGTGATGGCGTCCATAAAACTTTCGAAGGGATGATTTCAACTTCACCATTTGGAACTCTTGGTTTAATAGCTTCCTTGTGAGCAGCAATCCTCTATCAAGGAAATCATGATAGGAAACACAAGCCCGGGAATATCGTATCAATTGGGAGATATATACTCCGTATGCAGGCGCTGCTGGAATGTTGCTACATAGAAATGGAAAGTTCACAATTGGGAAGCTGAAATCATCTCTTTTGTCGTAAAGTTTTGTTTTCAACCGACCCTCATTGTCAATTTCTAGATGTAAGTCAAGATATGAGGCAGACTTAACTGTATCTGTAGTATCCTTTATCTCTAGATCGATGGGATAGATTCGTTCAACATAGCTATATATATATATAGTCACCAAATTTTGTATTATTTAGCGAGAGAACATCATCTATATAGCAGAACGTAGAGTTAAAGGACTTTTTATCTTTCTTCCTAAGAAGTTCCTGTATGAAGTCTGCTTCATAATAATAAAGAAACAAGTCGGCAAGAAGATGGGCACAATTGGTTCCCGTTGGAATTCCAACAGTCTGTTGAAAAACACGTCCTCCAAACGTAACAAATATGTTGTCAATCAAGAAATCAAGCATCTTGATAATGTCAGTTTCAGAGAATTTTTTGTTTGAATCAGAGTGATTCTTTACAAAGTAGGATTTATCCCTCCCCAAGACAAGATACTTGTATTTACGTTCGCCATTCTTTTTAATGAAACAAAGTAATACCAACTCTTTCAATTTGTCTTTTAGTTTGGAATGGGGAATACTTGTGTAAAGTGTAGAAAAGTCAAATGTTTTAATACTATTGCAAGATGAGAGAGTCTTAGATTGTATGTACTCTAAAAGATCTTTGGAATTTTTAGTATCCACACCTGATTCACGCCACCTCTAGAATAGGCAGTTTCACAATAACTTTGGAGCCCGGCTTTGATTGCTGATAAAATAGATGTTAATAATTTAGAAAGAGGTTTCGTGGAGCACTTGGAAGACCCAGCAATATACCGTTGTTTGTAAGGACACTTATGTAGTTTAGGTATCCAATACAGTGATGGAAGATCCAGTTCTTCATCTTTGGTTGAAATTCCAAAGGAACATAGAACAGACCTATGATTATCCAGGATTTCCTCTTTGGTAAGTGTCGTGAGGGTATATGTTGAGTTTCCAAGTGAATTGTCAATACCTAATTCATTTATCAAGCAGTTTATGTAATGATATTTACACACAAGAACGATGTTGTTTGGGGCTTTATCTGCGGGGACAACAACATATTTGTCATGGAGGTAGATCAAGTGTTTTGCAACATTTGGGTCTTTAAAAATTGATGTAGCGTGGGTATTGATATGCCCATTTAGTTTCTTAATTCGGATTTGTATCAACGACCTCACAGCCTTAATCCATTCGGAAAGAGTATCTACGTCTTCTTTCTCGCGTTTTGCCCATTGCCTGGCATAATCCTGGACTGAATCCATCAGTATTTTGAAGTTGTATTTCCAATTGATGGATTTAGGCTCACGATATTTCGGACCTTTGGATAACAAATTTCGCAGGGAAGTGTTATTGACAATGTTGAGGTCTCCGGTAATAACGTGGCCAGCCGGATTATATGTGAATTGGGAACTAGCACAGGTGCAATCAGGAGGTTTAGACTTGAAGTCGTCAATGTTGAGATCCTACAAAACGTGTTTGTAATTGAAAATTTTAGTTGCAATTGGTTTGGTATAGGTATAAGAAATTATTGGTACAGACTGATCTTAAAAATAAGGAGGTATTTTCGTCTGAACTAATTTATGATGAAGGATATTGCCTAAGTTGATGCCATCGAGACCTTTGTTGGCAAAAGAAAGTTTAAGAAATGATCTTTTCTCTTTTTCATCTTTTCCAATGCGAACTGGTTTGAAAAGTCTGTGACTTGCAATATCCGAAATGATAGCTGTAAGTTTGTATTGGTTTGAATGAGGGTTTGTAACAGTGGTTTCCAAACATAAATTGAACAGAGAATGAAGTTTTGAAAGGGGTAATGAATACAGTTTCGTGCGAATGTGATGAATACCTAATGGCTTTTGTATAAATGGCAGCAAGTCATTAATAGAGACATCATGCAAATTAGGTGATGTATAATGACGATGACCATGACTGCGTCTACGTCGAGGAGTAGAGTTGAAAATATTCATCACATTCACCGAGCCACAGGAAGGACTTGATAGAATACCTATACCATCATTTTTGTCATTGCAACCATATGGTGTTGCAGTTCCCAATTTTCGAATCCAGTAGTCCTCTTTTTGTCTACGGAGAGGCGTTGCAAGTTGAGGATTGTTAGTCTTGTGGTATATTTTTTCGATAATACGAACTGTCATAGAAACGATGGAATGATCAGGCTGATTAAAATGCTGGTACAGAATGTCGTATGCATTGAGGTTGATATCTGATCTATGGCCGCACATACATTTGTTTAGCCTTCCTTTCGTTTCACCGACGTAAACCAATCCACAAAGGTTACACTCTAATCCGTAGACAACATTTATAGATTTACAATTCAGATCATTGTAACTTCTAGTAAAGTAAGACTTTTTAGTTAAATTGCTAGTGAATTGAGCGTCTGTTATTAAAATTTTGCAGCCATTAGTTCCACATTTCGAAATGAGACAGTGTTGTTCAGAGTCATCAAAATCCAAAATGTCTTTAAGGAGAACTGAACATGGCTGTGTATGTGTACTATTGCTATTGTCACTAGTATGATGATCCGAATGAGTCATGTTTGGGATATTTGTCATGTCTGGTGATGAGGGGACACCTGCCTTATCAGACGACACCGTGTCCATGGTGACGTCTGTTTCGGACCTTTTTATACTGGGCAAAGTCCGAGCCAGTATCCTGTTAGATCTTTGTAAATTCATGCAATTTTGCTACTGGGCCGATGATGTCCTCGGGGACAAAATGTCCACCAGCAGAGACATCGACCCAGTGGTTATAAAAGAGGGACGAAAGATACCAGAGGAACAGTCAAACTCATAGATCGAAAAATTAGTGTTTCCCCCAAGCATGTTTAGCATGGATAGACGCCATGCCCTTTTTAAATGACGCCATGCCCTTTTTTTGTCTTAATAAATGACGCCATGCCCTTTTTTCACTTCTTTGGATGACACCATTGTCTCAAAAATGCCCTTTCTTCCTGTCTTCATGTTTCTGACAAGTTTATGACCCTCAGCTAATTAACATTTACAACAGGTGATATAAAGATGTGATTACTGTTAATCCGCTTATCGCCATCGGATGGGTCACTAATCCGTTAATTATTAATAAACCTCCTAATTGACCACCATAATAATTTTCCCCAGTAAAATCAGTCAGTCAGCATTTTAATTTCAATATTTCTCAAGGCCAAGATCACAATTTGCAGTTGGTTTGTCGTAGTTTCATCATTTGAACATAAATGTTTTCCCCCGTACAGTTCGCTTTTTAATTTCAATATTTTTAAAACTATCACAATTTGCAGTTCGTTTGTCACAGTTTCGTCAAATGCTCGTATTTTCGTGATCTTTGGTTTAAAACGTTCAATTTCGATTAAAAAGATAGAACTTTATTCAAAACATTCAGAAAAGTTTTCACGAGTCAAACAGGTGCTTCCTGTACTGTTTACTATATACTGCGCGTGCGTGAAAGTATTCCTGTGAATTTGTAGACACTAAAACGTAAAATACGAAATAAATTTAGTTTAAAATAAATGAGAGAGACAAATATAGTTCTTAATAAGCAAATCAAATACAATAAATGATAATTTACTGCCTTTTTTTTTAAAAACGAACCAATCCGTAGATGAATCCGGATTCATTCTGAATTTATTATCTACTTGTCACTTCCCATTTACATTTCATTTGTAAATCGAAAGAAAAGGTGATCAATTCTCGATTAATTTACAATTTACAGTTATTAGAATCGTTCCAATAAGAATTTGTACAAATCCTTGGTTCCAACTTTATAGAAATGAATTCTAAAAACCGATCTAAACGTTTTATAAGGATAATGATTATGCAGTGTAATAGTCTTACAAAGTTCTACAAGTTCATTTATACTGTGAATCCTGGTTTAAAAAAAAGGGGCCCAACTTTTGTTGAACAGGACTGTCCCCTGAAACTAATTGAAGTGAAATTTTGAACTAGATTTTCAGATCTTATATCCTAATCTTCATATTTAAGTGCCACATCAGTCAAATCATGTAATTACTGCCTAGTAAATTTATGCCTTTAACCTTAAAAGTCTGACAAAGATCTATAGCTAGTAAGATACATATATCCTTGGTCCCTTGCTTTTACCCGAAATAATGTTGATTTTCATCTTTATTTAAAGATGCATATACAATATTATTTTGAAACAATACACTTGCTATCTTGAGTTCTGATTCCATCAACAACTGCCAGTCCATACTCTACCAATGCAATATGACAATTTATTGCCTTTCTTGTTTTCAGCATACTGTAGGTGCCCCTTTGTTAATTTTCCATACACTGTAGGTGCCCTTTTTATAAATTTTTGCGCGCTCTAGATGCCCTTTTTCAATAAAGTTACCATGCCCTTTTTGTGTGATAGGGGAAACACTAAAAATGAATATTAATAAGTCTTTAGCAAATTCTTTCCTTTAACAGTCATGACAGTTTTGATTTTTTATCATGTAAAAATTCCTAAAATTAGACTGGATTCCCTCTATTCAAAATGCAGCCTCCTCAACTATATATAGCTACCTTCTAAATTTCTGAATTTGCACCTGTAGTTTATGCAGTGGGTCTATCAGCACTTTTTAACTGTATTTCATAATCATTTCAAGAAAGCATTGATGATAACATAATCCTTGGGTAACCTTATTAAAATAACTGCATCAAAAAGTTACCCGAAACAAAATCTAAAGTGAAAAATCAAGCATGTATTTACCTACACCTTTGATTCCAAAATGACTAGATGGGGTTTAGACTTGAGACAAGGTCATGTAAATCTTAAACTTGGTACTTGACCTTGGACAGTGACCTTTGAATCAATGGGGATCTTCCTTTTATTATATGTGATCATATATCTAAGAATGGTTGCAATCCCATATGTACTATTTGAATCATTATCTGGAAACTACTTTGACTGCATAAATTTCAGTATACTTTTAGTAGCTCAGTCCTTGACATTTGATTAGTGACATCAAAAGTAATAGGGATCTTCCTCTCATTATATGTAACCCTATATTTAAGAAAGGTTTAAATCCCATATGAAGTATTTGATTTAGCATCCAGAACCACTTTTCTGCACAAAGTATTTTTTTGGTCATATATAATATCTTAGAGTGTGGTTGCTATCCCATATGTACTATAAACAAGGAATTATTTGAATCAGGAATAATTTTGAATTCTGGAAAATTGATAAGAAATGTATGATGAAAACTTACCAAATTAACACGATTAAGAAGGGTTAGCCGTGCATGACTGGCTAAAGGGGGTTAGTTACTGTAAATTCAGAAATTATTGCAGATTTTTTCGAAATCGCAAAAGTTGCAATAATTAAACTCGCATTTTTGTCCATTATTGAAAAATCGCAATAATAAATGCACACAATAATTTCTGAATTTACAGTAGTTCATATTGAAATATTAGTGAAAGTGAAATGACATGGCTAACCCTATTTAATTGGGTTAGTTTTCATCATAAATTTCTAAGTAATTTTCCAGAATTCAAAATTATTCCAGATTCAAATAATTTTAATCTATTTTGAGATATTTTGGATTCACCGTGGACACAGAGACCTACAAATCAATAGGGATCATCCTCTCATTATATGTGACCACAAATCCAAGAATAGTTTGAATTCCATATGTGGTATTTGATTAAGCATCAGGAAACCATTTTTCTGCACAAATTTCAGTTGATTTTTAATGATTATGACCTTGACCTTGGACATAGTGACCTCAAAATCTATACGAATCTTCCTCTCATTATATGTGACCATAAGTTTTATTTTGGTTACAATCAACTATTAAGTTTTGGAAAGGAAAATGATTTACTCATGGACTTATGGATGGGTCATAACCCATATTCCCCCCTGCTTCTTCATAGCGTGGCATATAATAATAGCTTTACAGATTGCAGAAAAAATTCTAAATCTTTACAACCTATAACCTGTTACCATTAAACTGAATAGAGCTATGTATTTTAATTCATTGTGAAAATCATATGTCTGTTTTGATGGGCCTTCTAGTTGATTGCTTTTTGATTGCTGAAGTCCATTTTCCATGTACATTTTCAAAAGCTGAATCACAGATAAAGGAACACTGGGTACTCATTTTTCAAACTTAAACAAATAGGCCATTCTACATGCTGAGAACATGTATATGACATTCTCATCCTAACAATATCTACTACCATTGACAACAGTCCACAGCAGCTGAGCCACCTGAATTTTAGTGTACCAATCCCCTTGAAAGAAAGGTTTCTAAGGGTGCTTTTAATATTATTTTATAGATGAGAACCTTGGAATTACCACCTAATGATAATATATTTCTTTTCCAGGTTTAGCTTTTCAACGTTGGTATATGGTTTTGGATTTGCTAGTATTTAAGCCTCTAGCATCACTGTTGAGATCTGCATATGGTTTATTAAAATTGCTACCGTTATTGTTGTGATGACTTGATTTAAGTCTCATGAGTTTAGGAAATACAATATGCCCATCTTTTATTAAAGCATCAAAATATCAAACAACCATGATGATGCTGTTAACTAAATTGATTAAACCAAGAATAGCCTCTAGGTTACAATCGACCATAAAATATTATGTGCGCAACCATTTTATGACGATAACATAATATTCAAAATTAAGAGTATGTCTTATCTTGATTGATCGATGGGTGCAGTCGGTATTTTTTATTACTTGACACTTCTTGCACTCAAAATAATATATTTTCCTTAGCCCTAACAGAACCGACACATCTTTTCTATGCTGAGATACATGTTTTAAGTGTAGAACTGATACGCAAGGGAAATAAGAACAAATTAACTTAAAAAAAGCAACAGGAACCTATATTTCCAGCAAGGTTTAGTTCTAAAGACCAACTTTCTAATGTCTGATTCCGGAAAAAGGCTACAGTTGTCACCTATGGAGAAATTTATTGTTTTCTGCAATCTCTATGGATTTCTTTTACATTAGTGTTAGACAAGGGGAGATAATTAACAACTTACCTCTCCTGCTCCCTCTGCTGGTGGTCTGGCATTTGTTCTTTCTTCTCCTTCAATCAATTGGAGCTTTTCATTGGTTAAGGACAAACTTGGATTTTAGAAAAAGAACTATTGAGGTATTATTGTAGATGTTCATCCCCATATACTAATATGTTTATATAATAAGCTAACACAAAATAAAATTCATTATTTCTTTATTAGAGTTTATTTGAACTTTTTAGTTGTGGCAAAAAAGAGAATCTATTAATCATTTTGTTAATTATTAAGTAAGTCTCTCATTTTGTTGCATTTTTAAATAAATTGGCCACATTGCGTGCTCATTTCCACAATAAAAAAATCTTTCTCAACTAAGAGTGGTTCCAGAATTAAACACATGGAGGCACTTTTCTAAGACCCCAACCACCCATAATAATTTTTTTAAGGAAAATGCAACCATCCATAATTAATAAATTTCAGTCCCCCTACCATGATCAATTTTGGAAAAGCCCAAAACTAATTCTATTTTATATTGAACAAATTATCGGTTAACATGAAAGAACAAGTTGTGAAGCAAATCATTGTCCCAGAAATTTTGAAATACAAATATCATTGTGTGTGCATGTATGTGTTTAATCACAAAACATAACTAGTTTACTTCATATGATATGGTTAATTGTTGAACAGAGGACTATGATTGGATTAACACATGTACAGTTAGAGGTCATTTTGTTGGTAGCTGCACTGCGCAAGTTTTTTGTATTGTGTTCAAGTTTCTACAATATATATGGCTTAGATAGACGATGGGGAATTTTGTGTGCACATAAAACTTGTTACACCCCAAAAATTTATGTGCCTCTACCAAGCTAAAACTTTCTGGACAATTGATGTTCTCTGGTTGAGTATCGCAAAAATAAGAACTCGCATTCTGATATCTAATGCATATATACGTATGCAGATTTACCTGAAATCGCAATAATTAATCTCGCACTTTTATCCATTCAGAAAAAATCATAAATGCTCGCTCTAATTTCTAAATTTACAATATCTAAAATCAGACTTGATTTAATCAGCATAAGGTCATCCGAACAGTCAAAGTATTGTAGATAATCCTATACATGACCATTATGATCAAAAGAGAACCTCATACCAAAAAAATATATTTAAACATTTCCCAATATAAACAACTTGCACGATGTCTTAAAACATGCAATTTATTCGGTTAACAATCAGGAGTTTGCTTGTGGACACCAAAGGGTAAAGATTGCATTCATTTTGCAGTAGAAACTAAAAATAATAAATTGCTACGTATATAGCATTGAAAGAAATACTTTGAATTGGTTCAACTACAATTATGAACTAAGGGAGATAACTCCAATCTAAAATATTACCTAAACAATGACATCTTTAATATTTTTAGAACAGAAACCATGCACAATTTATAATTTGCCTGATTAGTATGGTTATACACATACAAATCATTTTGTAACTTGAAAATATCTTATTATATATTTCACTGATAAATTTCTTGAAATCATCATGGACAGGATGTATAGAATGTTGTGCTCAATGCAATATGTTTTGTTTATCTCAAAAGTAGAAATAAAGTCTGGAAAATTGAAATCTATCAAGCAAACTACATAATGGTTATGATTGCATGAATGCAATCACTATATCTTTACCCTAAAAAACTGAACAAAGTCAAATCAAATCGAAACCAAAAATTTAAAATTCTAAAGTTTAAAGATAAGAAAAAATTGAACGAAGGGAAAATATCAAGTTTCGCTGAAATAGTGGTTTATTGTTTCTACAGAAGTTGCGTATATTCTCTTGATTATCAGCAAAGGATACATAAGGAGCTACTCTGTCATCATCAAATATTGTGAAATCTGTGTCTTTACCTACGACACCTAGTGAACAGTTCTGAAAATAAAACAGTGGGATTAGTTTAACTTAACTAAGAGTATATCAATGACACCTAATAATTTATTGTTAAACTTTATAAAAAGAAGAATATGGGTTAAATGCCATTTAAACAGCAACCCAAAAACACATGGCGACAAAAATCGGTAATATCTGATTTGGAAGCAAATGGGACAAAATTCACATGACATACACACTTCAGAAGCACCATGGGTAATCATGGTAATAAGACAGATTGCCATCTTTATGGAATTGTAGTAGAAGAAACAGATATTTGGTCTGATACTATTATTAGGGATTTTTTAGAGAAGGCTGTATATCTTATGTTATAAGTTGATCAAGAGTGCACATGTCAAAATGTTTCGCCTGTTTTACTTATGATTAAATTCATGTTGTAAGTTAAATAATATTTAGTGAAGATATGTGATGAAACTTCAATTAAAAATGTTCACATGATTTAGTTTAATGATATTGGTAATATGATTGTTTTACTACAAGTATCACATAAATTTAACATTATCAATGATCCATGAAAATGAAGTCACTGTCAGATGAATGAAACCAGATAGACATGTACACCTAAGAGTAATTCTTTACACCAAATATAGGGGTCCTATCCTTTTACAGTACCCATAGAAACAGATCAAACGACAAAATCTTTAAAATTGACCAATGAACCAATAAAATGAGGTCAAGGTAAATAGTAATATGAACCTATCCACACAGAGATGTACACCTTACAATCATTCCATTCACCAAATATACTTGTCCTATTGCTTAAAATATCTGAGAAAATGACCAACCAACAAAAACTAAACATTCCTAGTGAGAACCCTGTGTGACCTTTACTTTTGACCTCGAAATAAAAAGAGGTTTCCTACTTCTTATATAACAAATGGTTGAAAATAAAATACAAAAGACCAAATCTAAGTCCATGAATATCTGTTTTGACCTTTGATCTATTGGCTCCTTATGTTTATTCTCATCCTATATGGTACATTATCAATCAATTTTTATAATTATGGACGTAAATATAATCTAGTTAAATTATCAAGAAGGCCAATTAAAATTAATTGATAGATTTTCATCCTGCCCACCCCTCTGAAATCGTCCCGCCCTGATTTTTCTTATTTTAGAAAAAAATTACGATTTCTGGATTTTTTTTATTTTAGAAAAAAATATGATTTCCAGATTTTGTTCATTCCCGTTAGCTGTTGATAATTTCGTTATATTCAAATCTTCCTGTTTCAAATTTTGGTTTTTTGTATTTTCGAGTAATCTCAGCTAATCGACATATTCTACTGCACTATGATGACAACATCATCTACCGAGAATAGAGGTTGATTACGAGAAGGGCATGAAATATTAGGGTAACGATTAATACACAGAGTCCAAGAACGTAAATCACAATATGTCACAAATTTCTATGATTAGAAAAACCGTGGACTTTTTTATTTATACAATAACTTTGTGTCAGGAAATTTGGACTGTGAATGACATATCCAAAGCACAAGAATCGTGGAACACATTGGTACAATAAACATGACTGGATTAAAGAAATTGACACAAGCACAACTTGTTAGATTTATGACAATATATTGAGTAAAAAAAAGTCGACAAACATACACATTTTATTATAGCAAACCCTTAGATTTACCAATACCTTGTGTCTTTTGTTGACAAACAGCAAACACCCTCTGTCCTGGTACCCTCAATTGAGTCATTAAACAACTTCTTTTTTGTTAAATTCATGTTTTACATTGAAATTATATTTGCATCTTGCATAAGCACCAACCCTATTATTTTCAACACTGTTTAAGTTTTCATTTTATTCTGTACTCATAATACTCATGTTGCATACCAATTAATGCATTTGCATCCTATTTTTGGGACTACAAACCATCCATTAGAAAGCAAAATTAATTTGGTGTAGGTAGTCCATATGAAGAAAGCATTTCTCCACGTTTTTGCTGTTTACTATTAATAGGTTTCTAAAGGGGCAATTATCATGATTATCTGTAGAACAGTGGTTGCCAATCAGAGATATTTATTTAAGAATTTGAAAAATTATGTGCGATTCCTTAAACATGTATATACATGATATGAGCTTATTATTACACTTGCATATATGAACTCGTCACAAGAGGGTTTCATATGACATAAAATTTAAAAAATAAAATCCTCCCACCCGCCCCATTTTTTGATAGATTTTCATATTAGGCCAACTAAAATTAATTAGTAGATTTTCAAAAATCTGGATGAAAATCTCCTAATTAATTTTAGTTGGCCTAATATGGATAAACGATTTACCTTTGTAGTCAACTCTACTTCTTGTGGCAGTGTATCACGTAATGCCCTTAAACCATGTTTTACCAATTCTTCTAATGTGCCTGAAAAAAAAGAATAACTTCCAATCTTGTTAATTCAAATTGCTAAAGCAATTAAAGGTGTGGGCATTAAAGTCCAAAAGTACAATAAATGTTTCCTTTCTCAGTTCAAAACTGAAAATAACAGATGTATGAAGAGGCCACTGAAATACTGAAAAATAGACACTTTAGCAAAAACACAATGATTTTACTACTAGTTCTATATAGTTCGAAAAAACAAATATTCAGACATTTTCCAATTGGGCGAAACAAACTTTTTTAAAAATTTACAAGTCTGAATAAAATTTCACTATAGTCCGGGGCATCAGACTAGTGGCTAACTATGCAGGCTGATTTTATTGCCATTCTTTAGCTCAGAAGGTTGTTGAAAGTATCTTTCATGCACAGAGATGGTGACACTCACTTACACAAGCATCACATTTAATGTTTAATTTTGAATGCAGGGTTTCTGCTTGCCGTCACCATTTTTGCTTTGTGCGAAAAAATAAAAAATAGGGTGATTAAAATATATTATTGGCAAAAGAAATTTTGAGTGTCTATTTATTACAAGCTAGGTAGATCAATAAACAGCTGCGCCATGAGCGCATGATATGCCCGTGGCTTTTTCAATAAAGTTCAATAACTTCTCAATGATATATCAGAAATTTATAAAAAAACTAAAGGGAGGTTATTTTAATAGATATAAATCAGTCATCAAAGTTTAAGCACTTTAAGGATATTGTCCAAAAACTTGAAAATCACCCCTTTTTTTATGAATAAAATCTTATAACTTGGAAACTTAAAATCTAAAATTTATAAAAATCAAAAGGGAGTTTACAATAATAGATATAAACAATTTACCAAAGTTTCAGTTATTGTCTGAAAACTGGAAAATCCCCCTTTTTGTAATGAATAAAACCCCATAAATCGGAAACGTATAGTCTAAAATTTATAAAAATCAAAAGGGGGCTCATGTCAATAGCAATAAACAATTCACCAAAGTTTCTTGCAAATTGGTGAAATTGTTTTTGAGTCATTGTCTGAAAACTGGAAAATCCCCCCTTTTTAATGAATAAAACCCCAAAACTCGGAAATGGTAAATCTGAAATTTATAAAATACGAAAGGGAGCTCACTTCAAAAGATATAAACAATTCCCCAAAGTTTCATGCATATTGGTTATAGAGTTTTTGAGTTAATGTCCGACATGTTGACGACGGACAGACGGACGGACAGACGGTCAACGGTATACCATAATACGTCCCGTAAACGGGACTATAAAAAACAGATATGTAGAATTATAATAGACAACAATGTTGCAAACTGATGGGATAAGATTTTGAATGTAAACTATGTCGACTTCAGTTGGCGAAAAAAATTAAAAGTGTCAAAAAAATATATTCTTTTGGCAAAAGAGGTGGTAAAAAGAGGGGAAACCCGGTCTGATTGGATATGGCTGTCTTTTTACATATACTGCACAGCCAAATAGACAGCTAAAGATGGAAAACGTTTTATTGCTAGATGATCAAAGTCCATTGACAGCCTTATTTCTTCATTACCCCATTTAAGCCTTGGGGTCAACAGTTGCAGGAAAGTTTATAATCCACTAACAAGATAAGTCACATATTGCGAATGTTTAAGATAGTCCCCATTATGAACTTAAGTCGTAATCTATTATTGAAAACCATTTTAGAAACATAAAGTATAGATAATAGATTTAAATGTACTATTCTGTAATAATCATACAAAGGGAAATAACTCTAGGTAGGTTGAGAATTTCATTTTAATACAAGTATCTTAAAAACATGTAAAGGAATAGTTACTCTGGAACATTTGGAAGTTATTAAGTGACTTTGATTTCTGTCAAACATTTCATTAATCATCTTCACAGGTACTAGCTAGATGAAAAAAGATTGGAAAGTATTAAAATTTTGATACTGTAAATTCAAAAATTGTTGAGAGGTTTTTATTAATGCAGCAATTGGGTAAGTATTGCAATAATATTATATGTAATTCAGGTCTCAGACAGGGTATATACTGTGACATTCCCGGCTTGGAGTTTATATAAGCCCTAAGCTGGGAATGTCACAATATATACCTTGTCTGAGACCTGAATTACACTTATATTACAGATTACCCGTGTCTTAATGTTTTTTCGAGTGCAGGTAGGCCTATTTGTTAAACATTCATGATGCAGCATGTATATTCATTACATGTTGACTGTTTCTTAACATTTTGAGTAATCCATTTAAATGTACCTTTCTTTATCTTGACAACATTTTTTCTGTTAAGAAAATGTTTTTATTAAAGTTTTTAGATTTCCTATTTTGTGTTTGTATGTGTGCGTGTGGCTTTGTTTTTTACAACACATATATTGAAAAACCCAACCTGATATGTTTGGCATAACAGGCCTCTACAATAACTTTTTTTTCAACTTGTCCAGTAGGACAAGTACATACCAAAATTTACTTGTCTGAATGAAATTGTAACTTGTCCAAAAAAAATCTTAATAATAACCCTTTTTTGCATTTTAAGTTGATTCAAGGAATAAAATGAATTAAAACAACATAACAGTAGTTAGATTTATATCTTTTGATATACTTTTCAAAAATATGAGTCGAGAACAACTGAATCTAGTCATGTCACAGGACTTTAAGGTTCTAGTTTTCATCAATGCCAAAGTCTCATCAGACTCTGCACATGAGGCACCATCTGATAGGCCTGTCAATGTACACTCATTGGATTTGTATCCTGGTTTTTTAAGTTGAAAAAAGTTATTCAAATGCAATCAATTAAAAAAAGAAGATGAGGTATGACTGCCAATGAGACAACTCTCTGCTAGAGACCAAATGACACAGAAATTAACAATTCATTATAGGTCACCATATTGCAAGTATTGTTTTTTTTTTCTACATATTATCAAATATGATTTTGTGAATTTTATGGTAAATAATTTCTTCATTTTTATTTAAAAAATATTTTTGTTAAAAAATTACTGGTTTGGTATTTATTATAAAGCAACAGAATCAAGGTAGGAAAACGAGGTACTGATTTGTCTTGGTCCCGAAATTTCTCCTGCTTGCCAAACTGTCTATTTATCATGTCTATTAAATATGTCTCCTACGGTGCCAAACTGTCTATTAAACTTGGAGCCAATGAATCATTTCCAAGCTGGTGACAACTGTCTTGTAAAGTTATCTATCTACAAAGGGCATGCTGATTCGGATCAGTAAGACTGGTTTCCGATAATAGTATGCCTTTTACCTGTTAAAAAGTACCTGACAAAGAACCAGTTTTAAATTATCGATTGCAAGTAAACATGTCAAATTAATACTTGTTTTTATCTTCTTTTCTTGTTTTTTGTTTATAATTACTTTGTTCATCAACGTTGGATTAAACATGTTAAATTTATTTTATGCAGAATAATTTTACTTGTCCCATCGGACAAGCTTGATATAGCTTTTACTTGTCCGACCTTTTTTTCCTCTGGTACCGGACAATCGGACAAGCGTTATTGTCGAGCCCTGCATAAGTAAAGGACTTTGTAATTTGCTGTGAAAATAATTTTATCATGTATGTAATAATTTATAATAACACTTTTAACATTCAATCTAAGTATTTTAAGTGTAAATTGTGTGATTTTGTATTAAAAATGTATTATTGACTGATGCACGTTATTATTTTCCCTCTGTGAGCCTCTGACATTCCTTAGTGTTGACTACATCACATAGTAACAGGTGTTATGACGTTTTTGAGGTTCCAAATGGGGATAAAAACGTCAAACCTACCCCAGCAGTTTTCGGAATATATACTGACATCTCTTTGTTGTCATCCAATCACAAACCTCGACACATTTGTAATCCGTATTATATATACATATACTTGTATGCAGATATTATTGAAATCCTAATATTCAAACTTGCATTTTATTAATCATTTAAAATTGCAATCATAAATGCATGCAATAATTTCTGAATTTATCAGTATACAACTTTTTTTTCAAATTTTGAAAATGATGGCATTAGATTTTAAGGTCGCTGGGGTGTCTTAATTAAAATTGATAGAATTTTTTAATAAGTTGTCATAATGAAGTTTTTATCATGCTTTTTTCAAAAATATAATGAAAAGTATGGGTCACCGGACTTTTTTTCACGCTACAGGTTGCATTTCTGTAAATATTGACAATGCAATTTCCCATAGGAACTCCTTTTACGGCTAAAACTGTACCACTTTTTCTATGAAGTTTTGAAAAAAATCATATCCTAGAATGGAAAGTTCATATGCACTACAATTTTTTTCAAAGGTCAAAATATGTGCGGCATATTTTCAACGTTTATATGCCCCGAACTTCTAAGAGTTAACACTAACACTAAACTTCTTAACTATCCCTACCTTGACTGTAGGATTACCACAGATTTCTATAGAGACAATATGAATATGTATATTTACTGGTAACATTCCCAAGTTATGTCTCTATGAGATGAAACCTAGAGATCATAACTGGTAACCAGTATGTAAACAAAATTAGTTATCTATGAATATTCTATATCTCCCCAAAAGAAGCGTGGTTTGAGAAATAGCTGTATTTACAAAGTGCAACCTACAGGTTGTGTAAAATTGTCAGATTTTGTATAGATTATGCATGGATAATCAAATTGTGTGTGATAAAAAGAAAACTACATGACAGAATTTTAAGATAAAATGTGAGAAGATAGCTCTTATAACATGCTTTTAGATAAGAAAAAGAAAAAAATGGGGTCACCGAACTTGTTTTCTTGCTACAGATTAAAATAGGTAAATTCACAACACTTTCTATTATAAAAATTACTTTATCTGAGTTATATCCCTTTATTTGGCAAAGTTGAAAAAAAAACACAAATAAGGTGTTTTTTAGAAATTACAGCCGTAATTAAGATAAAACACACAATTTTCTATATTCACATCAAAAGTCTTACACATGAATTACATAATACTCTCAAAATTTGCACATTTCATCAAAGATCTAGACCAACGTTATCTGCTACTTCAAAATCCAAAATGGAGGAAGACTCCCGACCACCTTAAATCATTACTAAATATCTGCTACATGTATAAGAAATGCTTAGTAGTAATCAGTCAAATGTGTACTTACAATCAAGATACTGGTCCAAGAATTTCTCTAAATATGTTCTTGCTGACTGTGATCTTGCACCAATTGCCATAGCTTTACAATCGTAATAATTGGCTGATGGGCATGTCTGGTATATATGTGGTCCTTGAGTCTGCAAACAAAAATTCATTGTAAACATTGTATTTATGATAATTATCAGCTGAAATTCAAAAATAACATCTTCAGAAATAAAGATCTTTTCAATAGATTATGCAAATATAAAAGACAAAAGAACAAAATGCAAAACATGTTTCCAGAAACTTTTTTCAGCATACTATTAAATATTGTAATATGAATAAAATTTAGATAAGTATATATGTTTAAATTACAAATAAGATAAAAATATGGTTTTAAAATTCATGAAAGTTTAGATCTGAGAAACAAATAAATTTGTAAACACTTTTTATACTACTGCATTCATCATAAAAGGAATATTTTGTTAAAATAACTTAATTTTTTTAATTCAAGCATAAGCATTTTATCTTTTGATATTTTATTGCTCCAGACAGGCAGCAGTTAACAATTAACTCAAAGAATTTACTTACTTCAACAATTAACAATATGCAATTATCAAAAAAGAAAAAAAAGAAAAATATCATATGGAAATGATATTAAAAAGCAAATTACTAGTTCTAGAATTGTGAGAAATAAAATTATGCACATAAATACATACATCATATCCGGCTACCAGAAGTCCTACACCAAATGGTCTTCGTCCATATCTTTGAGTTGGTATTTGTGATTCTTAGAGCTAGTTAAGGCAAATTCGTCAGAAGATTACCAACCATATGGAATATTTCTAACCAGTGAGAAGAATTCAATTACAAGTTTGAATCTTATATATATATATATTCACATTTTTGTTTTTTTTTCTACGAACAATTGGCTCCTTATATTTTGGTTAAATTTGCCTCAATGACCATTTAATGAAAATTTTACTTTATTTTCAATCCACACATTAGAAAGAAGTTCATAATGAAATTAACATGGTAGAGATTTCAATATGATCCACTGATTAATGTTCGCTTGACATTCTATCAGCAAATATTTCATGCAAATACAGGTCAATAAAGAAGTACATTGACACGAGTGTACCATGCTCTGTACAACTTTGTCAAGACCACTCTGCAGTGTAGGATTTCTCCCATTTTTAATAGATCACAAAGTAACAGTCCCAAATAAGACTTTTTATCCTACTATCCCACATTATTCTGCCTTTGAGCTGACCAGGTTTTGACTAATCATGCTTTTTCCTAAATGCCACAATTTTGGAGGAGGAACAGCTAATGTTTATCTTAAAAGTCTATGGTTTGACTCATCTATGAATTGAATCCATGAACTCCCACACGTAAGGCATGATCAGTACCATGTGAATATCAAGATGGTTGACCTCAAATGTTTGGAAATACAAATTTTTGATTGACAGGGTTATGTTGTATGAATATGTGAGTAACAACTTATTTGTCTGGTCATTAAAGGATACTGTTTCCAACATTGGCTACTAATCTGGACACAGGGAATGGTTGATCATAGGCATATCTGGAGTTGAGACATTCTGATCTCATAAAATTACTGAAATATAAATTGTATGATTAATTCAAAATCATAACCAAAATAATAATCAACTGAGAAAACAAAAATTAAACAAACAAATCAAATTCTTAGTCATCATTTTAAATGTGATTTTCAAAAGGTCTATCTGTACTAAAGAATTTATAAAATTATAAACCTGATACATGGCTAAGTTAATTTTTCCATTTTTCCTGCCTGTTCTTTTTGCTTTTCATTTTAATATTGTTTTGTACATAAATCAGGCTGTCAAGTTTTCTTGTTTGAATAGTTTTACATTTGGGGGCCTTTTAAAGCTTACTATGTGGTATGGGTTTTTATCAAAAAAGAAAAAAAACAAAGAAGAATATCATATGGAATTGATACTATAAAGCAAATGACTAGTTCTAGAATTATAATGAATAAAATTATTCACATAAATACATACATCATACCCAGCTACCAGAAGTCCTACACCAAATGGTCTTCGTCCATATCTTATAAATATATACATCAATTGCTCAATGTTGAAGGCCATACAACATCGTACAGTGACATATAGTTGTTCCAATCTTCATCATTTGGTCTCTGGTGGAGAGTTGTCCCATTGGTAATCATACCACATCTCATTTTCATATAGCTAAATTTAAGAAATACCTAAGTAATCGTGCATCAGCTGTCAATCCTGCTATAGCCACACCCACATGATCATCTATTGGTAAAATTTTCTTTTGATGGGCAGACAACTCTGATGGTGCACGCTGAAATATAATAAGAAATACCTGATACATTTGTACCTAGTGAAAAGTATATTTTTTTCAACAATACCATCTCTATTATCAATGGAGCATTTTCTTGTTGACCAAATAAAGGCTTGTATAGTCCACAGTTTTATTCTCCAAAATTGTACCTGCCAGACAAGGGTGCAGACAATAGAGTACAATAAGCAAGAAATAAGAGAAAAAAAATCAATTTTGCGAGGTTGTATGTTTACGTTCCGCAATGTTTGTTATTGAGATTGTAGAGGGCGCTCTTATCATTTTCAAAACTAATAATTTTACCTAATCCATATTACATGTATTAATAAGTAATCTTATTCAATATTAAATTAATACTGATAAATTTAATAAAATGTGTATCTGAGCGCAGCCTGATATGACCGCAGAGGACGAACCCTGAACAGTTGGGGCAAATTTGGACACAATATTCAAGCTTGATACTATCTAAATTTGGATTGTGATCAAATTTTTGACATAATATAGGTTTCTGACACAAAATAAATGCGGTCAAAGATCTTACAAATCTAATGAGTATTGCGAATTAGATATGTAAGATCAGTGTGCAATTGAAGATTTCTTCTTGAAACTTTTCAAAAATTTGAAATTTGAAAAATTTTGAAAAAAAATTATGAACCACTTAAAAAAGTTGGAACCCCCCCGCCAACTTTTTGACCCCCCTTGGAACAGTAACCATCAAACTCAATCCCAGTCTTTCCTTTGTAGTATGGAACCTTGTAGTACAATTTTAGAGAGATCCATACACTTAAACACAAGTAATTGTCTGGAACTAGAACTAGAGGCTCGCAAGAGCCTGTGTCGCCCACCTGTATTTACTGATGCTTTGGAAATCATGTAAAATAAGGTTAAAATCATAATTAATAGTATTAGATATTAGATATTATAATGATATTTAAGATAATAACAAATAAAATGCTTCGCTGGGCGCAGCTTGATACGACCGCAGAGGTCGAATCCTGAACAGTTGGGGCAAGTATGGACACAACATTCAAGCTTGATACAGCTCTGAATTTGGATTGTGATTAAATATTTGACACAGCATAGGTTTCTGACACAGAAAGAATGTGGTCTAAGAACTTCAATTTTTTTAATTTACCTATTATGGTCCAATGTCCAAAATCAAAATACATGGTTAGATTCAGCATATCAAAGAACCCCATATATTCAATTTTTGTTGAAATCAAACAAAGTTTAATTTTGGACCCCAACTTGGACCAACTTGAAAACTGGTCCCATAATCAATAAAATGCTTCGCTGGGGCGCAGCTTGATACGACCGCAGAGGTCGAACCCTGAACAGTTGGGGCAAGTATGGACACAACATTCAAGCTTGATACAGCTCTGAATTTGGATTATTAAATATTTGACACAGCATAGGTTTCTGACACAGAAAGAATGTGGTCTAAGAACTTGAATTTTTTTAATTTACCTATTATGGTCCAATGTCCAAAATCAAAATACATGGTTAGATTCAGCATATCAAAGAACCCCATATATTCAATTTTTGTTAAAATCAAACAAAGTGTAATTTTGGACCCCAACTTGGACAAACTTGAAAACTGGGTCCATAATCAAAAATCTAAACACATGTTTAGATTCAGCATCTCAAAGAACCCCAAGAATTAAATTTTTGCTAAAATCAAACTAAGTTTAATTTTGGACCCTTTGGACCTTAATGTAGACCAATTTAAAAAACGGGACTTAAAATTAAAAATCTAAATACATGGTTAGATTTGGAATATCAAAGAACCCCAATAATTCAATTTTTGATGAAATCAAACAAAGTTTAATTTTGGACCCTTTTGACCTCAATATGAACCAATTTGATAGCGGGGCCCACAAATAAAAAATCTAAATTCATGGTTAGATTCAGCATATCAAAGAACCCCATATATTCAATTTTTGTTGAAATCAAAAAAAGTTTAATTTTGGACCCCAACTTGGACCAACTTGAAAACTGGGCCCATAATCAATAAAATGCTCCGCAGGGCGCAGCTTGATACGACCGCAGAGGTCGAACCCTGAACAGTTGGGGGAAGTATGGACACAACATTCAAGCTTGATACAGCTTTGGATTTGGATTGTGATTAAATATTTGACACAGCATAGGTTTCTAACACAGATTGAATGTGGTCTAAGAACTTCAAAATTTTAAATTGGACATTCACCTATTATGGTCCAATATCCAAAATCTAAATACATGGTTAGATTCAGCATATCAAAGAACCCCAAGAATTCAATTTTTGATGAAATCAAACAAAGTTTAATTTTGGACCCTTTTGACCTCAATGTGGACAAAGTTGATAACGGGGCCCAAAAATCAAAAATCTAAATACATGGTTAGATTCAGCATATCAAAGAACCCCATATATTCAATTTTTGTTGAAATCAAACAAAGTTTAATTTTGGACCCCGATTTGGACCAACTTGAAAACTGTGCCCATAATCAAAAATCTAAATACATGTTTAGATTCAGCATATCAAAGAACCCTAAGAATTCAATTTTTGTTAAAATCAAACTAAGTTTAATTTTGGACCCTTTGGACCTTAATGTAGACCAATTTGAAAACGGAACCAAAAATTAAGAATCTAAATACACGGTTAGATTAGGCATATCAAAGAACCCCAATAATTCAATTTTTGATGAAATCAAACAAAGTTTAATTTTGGACCCTTTTGACCTCAATGTAGACAAAGTTGATAACGGGGCCCAAAAATCAAAAATCTAAATACATGGTTAGATTCAGCATATCAAAGAACCCCATATATTCAATTTTTGTTGAAATCAAACAAAGTTTAATTTTGGACCCCGATTTGGACCAACTTGAAAACTGTGCCCATAATCAAAAATCTAAATACATGTTTAGATTCAGCATATCAAAGAACCCTAAGAATTCAATTTTTGTTAAAATCAAACTAAGTTTAATTTTGGACCCTTTGGACCTTAATGTAGACCAATTTGAAAACGGAACCAAAATTTAAGAATCTAAATACACAGTTAGATTCGGCATATCAAAGAACCCCAATAATTCAATTTTTGATGAAATCAAACAAAGTTTAATTTTGGACCCTTTGGACCTCAATGTGGACCAATTTAAAAACGGGGCCCAAAATCCAAAAACTAAATACACGGTTAGATTCAGCATATTAAAGAACCCCATGAAATCAAGAATAAAACCCCATTGAAATTGGTCAAGAAATAAGCAATTTATAGGAAGTATCTTCTTTTGCACAATCCTGTGCTATTAAATATTTCTTGCTATTGCGCAATACTGTACAATTGACAATTTCTTGCTATTGCGCAATATTGTGCTATTGGATATTTCTTGCTATTGCGCAATACTGTGCAATTGAAGATTTCTTGCTATTGCGCATTACTGTGCAATTGAAGATTTCTTGCTATTGTGCAATACTGTGCAATTGAAAATTTCTTGCTATTGCACAATACTTATTATATAATAATTTACACATCCTGTTTGGTGTGTATCTCCTACCATATCATTATTGTTTGATTTTAAATATAAATCAGAAATAACCAACTTAAAATGGAAAATTTTAAAAGAAACAAAAAAGGAAAAAAAGAAAAAAAAGGAAAAAAAAATAAATCCCCCCCCAAAATTTTTTGAACCCCCATTATGATTCATCACCCCCAAACTCAATCTCAGCCTTCCCTTTGTGGTATGGTACCTTGCAGTACAATTTCAGAGAGATCCATACACTTGAACACAAGTTATTGTCTGGAAACTAGAAAAAAATGTGTTTTTTGGCCCCTTTTTGGCCCCAAATTCCTAAACGTTTAGGGCAATTACCCCCAAACTCAAACCCAGCTTTCCCTTTGTGATATGGAACCTTGTAGTACAATTTCAGAAAGATCCATACACTTACACACAAGTTATTGTCATGAAACTAGAAAAATGCTTGTTTTTTGCCCCTTTTTTGGCCCCTAATTCCTAAAATTTGGAGGCAATTACCCCCAAAATCAATCCCAGCATTCCTTTAGTGATATGGAACCTTGTGGTACAATGTCAGAGAGATCCATACACTAACACACAAGTTATGTCTGGAAGTTACAAAAATTCTTATTTTTGGCCCCTAATTCCTTTACTGTTATTACCATAACCCCCAAAATCAATCCCAACCTTCCTTTTGTGGTATTGAACCTTGTGGTAAAATTTCATAAAGATCCATTCACTTAAACTAAAGTAAGAGTGCGAAAACCAATGTGTCTTCGGACGACGCCGACGACGCCGGACGACGACGACGCCAACGTCATACCAATATGAGACCACAAAAATTTTTTTGCGGTTGTATAAAAATCTAAACACATGTTTAGATTCAACATATCAAAGAACCCCAAGAATTCAATTTTTGTTAAAATCAAACTAAGTTTAATTTTGGACCCTTTGGACCTCAATGAAGACCAATTTAAAAAACGGGACCCAAATTAAAAATCTAAAAACATGGTTAGATTTGGCATATCAAAGAACCCCAATAATTCAATTTTTGATGAAATCAAACAAAGTTTAATTTTGGACCCTTTTGACCTCAATATGAACCAATTTGATAGCGGGGCCTACAAATAAAAAATCTAAATACATGGTTAGATTCAGCATATCAAAGAACCTCATATATTCAATTTTTGTTGAAATCAAACAAAGTTTAATTTTGGACCAACTTGAAAACTGGGCCCATAATCAAAAATTTAAATACATGTTTAGATTCAACATATCAAAGACCTCCGTATATTCATTTTTTGTTAAAATCAAACAAAGTTTAAATACTGGACCCTATCTTGGACCAACTTGAAAACTGGGCCCATAATAAAAAATCTAAACACATGTTTAGATTCAGCATATCAAAGAACCCCAAGAATTCATTTTTTGTTAAAATCAAACTAAGTTTAATTTTGGACCCTTTGGACCTTAATGTAGACCAATTTAAAAAACAGGACCCAAAATAAAAAAT